AGTGAAAGCCTGTCTCTACAAAAAATGTAAAAACTAGCCAGGGCTGGGCACAGTGGTTCACGCCTGTAATCTCAACACTTTGGGAGGCTGAGGTGGATGGATTGCCTGAGATCAGGTGTCGGCGACCAGCCTGGGCAACACGGTGAAACCTCGTCTCTACTAAAATACAAAAAAAAATTAGCCGTGCATGGCAGCATGTGCCTGTAGTCTCAGCTACTCCGGAGGCCAAGGCAGGAGAATTGCTTGAACCCGGGAGGCGGAGGTTGCAGTGAGCCAAGATTGCACCACTGCACTCTAATCTGAACTACAGGAAGACTCTGTCTCAAAACAAAACAAAACAAAACAAAAACAGAAACAAAACTAGCCGGGCATGGTGGTGTGTGCATATAGTCTCAGCTACTCTGGAGTCTGAGGGGAGAATCACTTGAATCTGAGGTTGGGGGTGCAGTAAGCTGTGTACCTGCCACTACCCTCTAACCTGGGTGACAAGAGTGTGACCTTGTCTCAAGACCAAAAAAACTAAAAAACTTAAATATATTTTGTTTATGTTATCTCTTTGATCTCTTAAATATCTTTGTGACTTGGGCGGTGGCTCACACCTGTAATCCCAGCACTTCGGGAGGCCAAAGTGAAGTGAAGCCAGGAGTTCGAGACCATTTTAAAGTTCAGCTCATTTCTTTTTTTTTTTTTTTTTTTTTTTTTTTTTTGAGTTCAGCTCATTTCTCATTCTGAAATTTGCTTTTTTCACACTTCTCAGAATTATATTGATGGATTTTCTCTTCCTTTACATTTTCTCCTTCCTCTCAATAGTGAATCTTGGTCTCCAGTGACTGGAGAGTAGCAAGCAAATTTATGGAGAATCATAGTGGAGTTTGCCAAGTGACTAGAAATCACCTTCCTCATTATCTCTTCACCACAAACACAATTTAGGGTGGAGCCAAGGACCAAAATGGAATGCTTCCTTAAGACTAGTGCACAGTTACTCAGAAAAATTTTTGTGGCATGGTGTGATGAGTCGACTTTGCCTTTCTTTTTTTTTTTTTAGATGGAGTTTTGCTCTTGTTGCCCAGGCCTGGAGTGCAGTGGTGCCATCTTGGCTCACATCAACATCTGCCTCCTAGGTTCAGGTGATTCTTCTGCCTCAGCTTCTGGAGTAGCTGGGATTACAGGTGCCTGCCACCACGCCCAGATAATTTTGTATTTTCAGTAGAGACAGGGTTTCTCCATGTTGGTCAGGCTGGTCTCAAACTTCCGACCTTGGGTGATTCTCCTGCCTCAGCCTCCCAAAGTGCTGGGATTACAGACATGAGCTACCGTGCCTGGCCTGACTTTACCTTTTTAAAAAAGTAAAATTTGTAGCCGGGTGTGGTGGCTCACA